AAGAGGGGAGGGAGGAGGGCTAAAGGGATGATTAAGCACCTGTGTGTGGTGATGGATTGTAATTAATCTTTGGGTGGTAAACGTGATGTAATCTATACAAAAATCGAAATATAATGATGTACACCTGAAATTTATATAATGTTATAAACCAATGCTACCTCAATAAAAAATTAAAAAAAAACTATTGGGAAAAGAACATATTGAAAAGAAAAAATACTTCTCTTGATTTTGTTATGAATCTTGTAGTTAGAAAATTGAAAAAGTGCACTAATAAAAAGCATATAGCGATTTTTTTTTTCCTGCCGAAGATTTACCCTGAGCTAACATCTGTTGACAATCTTCCTCTTTTCCTATGTGAGCCACCGCCACAGCACGGCCACTGACAGATGAGTGGTGTAGGTCCACACTTGGGAACTGGGCCTGGGCAACTGAAGCGGAATGTGCCAAATTTAACCACTAGGCCACTGGGCAGGTCCTAGTGATTCTTTATTTATCTAATATTTTGGGAATAAGGTGATCAGTCCATTTCCATAAACTTCATAGTTTACGAGAGCCTAAGATATTAAACCCCCAATTTCTCCTATTATCAATAATTGCTCCATTTTGGAAACATATCTAAAATATGTGTTGCATGCCTGCTCCTCCTCTGTTGTCCCCCATCTAGAGAATCAGCACCTTCATTCACTTAGCTGTCCGTGCCAAAATTTTGAGTCACAACTGATACCCTCCCCCTACCATAGCCAATCAATCACCAAGTCCTGGCAGTTCAACTTACTAAATATACCTGGGATTCTTTCCCTTGACATTGTTCAATCTTCCTCCAAGCCACTATCACCTCTTGCCTGGACTCTCCAGTAGCCTCCCACTTAGAGTGTTAGAGTTAGAAAATAGAAACACAGGATGTCCAGTTAAATTTGAATTTCAGATATAAAACAAATAATTTTTTTAGTATAAGTAAGTCCCAAATGTTGAAGGGGATATACTTATACTTAAAAAAAATTATTTGTTGTTTATTTGAAATTCAAATTTAACTGAGTGTTCTGTATTTTATCTGGCAACCCTACTCCTAGCAGTCTCACTTCAACTCCTCGGGTCCTCTCTAACCCATTTTCCACATCACAGTTATGATGATTGTTAAAATTCCTATCTGATCATGTCACTTTTTAGTTTATTAAAATTCCTCATTATCCTTAGGATTAAGTCCTTTATTCTTAATATGGCCTTCAAGGCCCTGCCAACCTCTCCAGCTCCATCTCATTGCACCTGCAGCCCCTCTTGCCTTAGATTAGAGACTTTGATATGGCAGCCCTACATAGAATGTACTTCCCTTCTTACCTACCCCATCCATCTTTAGTCCTTAAGCCTCAGCTTCAGTATCACCTCCACCAGGAAGACTTCCCTGATCTCCCAGATGAGGTTAGTTCCCCTGACAATACTAACTCAATACTTATTTGCCCCTCTAGAGCGTAAATTCCAGGACAGCAGGGAGTATGTCTTCCTAGGTTATCCTTCTAGGTACCTAGGTCACTATAGGTAGTCTCAGTGCCTGGTAAAATGCCCAATACAGTGTTCATTTATAAATGATGAATAAATAAACACTAAACATTATCTGAACTTTTCTCAAAGATTGGGTTCACCACTCTATGACCCGTTATCCCATTGTTCTGAGAGATACTGGCACCTCCACTCCTTCTCTCTGCTCTCACCTCTGTCTACATTATTGACCCCAAGACAGTTATACTTTTTGAGCCAGTTTGGCTTATTTTTTTTTTAAATATCTTTTCTCTCATTTTTCCTCAAGATCACCTGTTAACAATCACTTCTTGCTTGGGGGAAGGACAGGAAAGGGAGCTCCTAATTTGTTTTTTTCTTATCTGCTATTGACCGAGAACCCAAATAACAAAATTTCTCAGAATTATATATATCAGATTTTGAGCGAGAGACTGAAGGATTCTCCTAAAAGCAAAACACCTCGGTTTCAGTGGGTTCCTGACACTCTTTTTGGTTTCTTGTTTTTTCCGGCTCTTTTACATTACCAGATAAAAGATTTCTGGATAAATAAGATGCCACTGTATTTCTCCCACTGTTCAGATACTGATAGTTTAAAATCATTTCCACAAATTTCATACTGCTAGTTTAATCTTCTTGCGGGTTTTTTTTTTTTTGCTGAGGAAGATTTGCCCTGAGCTAACATCTGTTGCCAATCTTCCTCTTTTTTTACATGAGCCACCACCACAGCATGGCCACTAACAGACAAGTGGTGTGGGTCCAAGCCTGGGAACTGAACCCAGGCTGCAGAAGCTGAGTGCTCCAAACTTTAACTACTAGGCCATCGGGACTTAATCTTCTTGAAGTGCAGACTTCATCAGTTCATTCTGCCGAAAAGCCGCATTGCTTATAGACAAAGTTAAATATTGTTTTCTTAACTTTTCCCAGCACTTAAAATGTCCCAGGCACTTAAGCACTTACCTGCATTATTTTACTTAACCTTCCTAAGAACTCTATAAGGTAGCTACGACAGGTGTATCGCGTTACACCCACATTTATTTTACTCAAGTTCACCCATACAGCTCAGGAGACAGAGAGTGAGCAAGAGCAAGGTGTCTAGAAGAAAGGACTTTGACAATACTCCTGACACCCTTGAGGCTCTCTGGTTGGAGCAAAAAGAGATAGAAAAAAAGTTTTAAGGGTAACTTGCTCTACAGCAAAGCATACTTAGAAGCATAGATTCTAGGCAGGGCCAGGATGAGGGGCCAGGATTAGGAGAGGGAGGCGCTTGCCTTCGGCACAAAATTTAAGAGAAAGCCAAAAACCCACTAACTGAGATGAATAATATTTTAATGCAATATTTAAAAAGACCAAAACTAATGCAAAATATCCATGAAGAACCAAATATCGAAATTTTAAATAAAGACAGAATCTAACCCTGCACTTGCAGGACTTACCTCCCCCTAATCCCAGCCCTGCTCCAGAGCCTAAAGAATGGGTTCGAATCTCAATTCTGTCATTTACTGGTTGTGTGATGTTAGACAGTTATTTAACCTCTTTATACCTCAGTTCCTTCATCTGTAGAATTAGGATAATAATGGTGTTTACCTCATAATGTTGTTGTGAGGATTAGATGAACCCAGCACATGGTAGATATTAAGTAAATGTTGGCCATCATTTTTGTGGAATCAAACCTCCTAAGAGAGTGCAGTTGAGTGGTAGATGGTTTTATATCTGTTACCATGTTTGAAAAGACCTCAGAACTGTATAAGTGTCTTGCACAATTGCCACAATCTTTGTCATGTACATATAGCTTGTATCAGCTTCTCCTGAAGAAGGATTAAAAGAATTCACCGAAAAGCATAAACACCTCACCTTGGATCAGAGGGAAGATAATCTCTTTTGCAAGCCTGTTAATTCCATCTAACCATTTTGAGTATTTCCTGAAGGTGGTTTCGAAGATAATTTTTAAAATGCTCTGAATGATGGCAACACTGGGGAAGTATATTGTTTCCCAGGATAACTAGATTTAAGACAAAAATCATATTAACAAGGGTATACTGGGAGAAAAAAAATTCTCTCCAATAAGAAGCTCTGAGGGGAGGCCCTCTTAGAAATCACGGGATGCAAAGTAGAGTTAATTGACCACCCCTGCTGTGGTTCCCTTCCTGTACAGCGCAAGATTTCTATCATAATGAATTTTCTGTACTTAGTGGTGTAGGGGAGCAGAATTTGCCACCTCAAGATGTGTCTCTTTAGCATGAGGATTATTTTGGACTGGTTATTCAAAAAAAAAAGAAAAAAAAAGCAGACCTGGGAGAAGCTCTGAAAACCAAGTAGAGGTTACCCTTTCTAAGAGACATTTACATCTGTAAGGGAAATCTCCATTTGTTAAGGTGTCTCCCTCTCTGTACCAGGAAGAGAAGGATGACATTTTCTCTAGAAACTCTTATCACTGCACATGGCAAGGACTTAAATCTGAGTAATAACCTTACTCTTGTTTACTGTGCTTTTTCTGATAACCTCCCATAACTGATTCTCCCCACCCCCAACATCTTCCTTTGTCTTTAGCTGAAGATGGTATTGAAGGTGGCCACCTCCACCATTCTGCTGAGTTACTCAGTTTTCCTGGGTTTCTCCCATGTATACATGTTATTAAACTCTTTGATTTTCTCCTGTTATTCTGTCTCATGTAGACTAAATTCTTACACCAGCCAGGAGCATCTAGAGGGTAGAACAATTCTCTTCCTCCCCTACAGGGGTTTATGTGTTTATCTACCCAACTAGACTCTCCAGGAACAGTGGTCTGGTCTAGTTCATTTTTGAATATCCGACACCAAGCACTATGCAAGGCAACGGACACTAAATACATATTTAATAAATAAATGCATAACCGAATTTTGGTTTTGGCACATTTAGCCCAAAGGATTCCTCTTTCAAACAATATGGTACGCGCTGGACTCCTGCTTCCCTATCCTCCCTGCAGCCCCGGGGACAGGAGCCAGAGGGGAAAGGAAACCCGTTCAGCATCTCCTCTTAGCGCTGTGAAAAATCATAATTTCCCAATTATTGTCAATGCAGAAAGGGTTCTGTGCACAAAAATATTCATGGCATTATAGCGCCGTCTGCGGCACAGCGTCCTTGCAGAGACCGGTCCTCTCGAGGTTGCCTGCCCAAGCCAGTGTGCGGATCCCAGCCCGAGAGCCCGCCGCGCACG